ATTTGCCATCTATTTAGTAGTATATGTTCCACTGTGCATTGCAATTCATAACCAGTTATATTTTTAACCTGAGTTATTATTTCTTTCCAAAACAGCTCTAGTTTCGGGCACTCAAGCCAACAATGAACATAATTTCCCACACCTCCGCATTTCTTCCAACATGCAGGAGAAACAGCAGATGTTATATGCGATGATTTTTGAGGTGTTAAATACCAAAAAGGAAGTATTTCGAAAGTTTGTAATTTTATTTCTATAATATTCGTATCAAAAGGGAAACGTCCTCCATATGTATTGCCAGTCGTCATCAGATAAAATAGAATTACAGATAGAATGCCACCTTTTCTGATACAAAAACAAATATGGTCACAGTCCATAGGCATGCCAAAACAGAACCACAAGAACTGTACACAGTGCGCTCAACATCTCTTTAACGAAAACTGTAAAGTTATAAATATGAAATGTACAAAAGTGATAATAATACATTCAAATGTGTAAGTTCAGATACATAAAGATAGAAGATGACGACGAGGGGACAGTAGTCTCCGGAATGCGATGCTGCTTCGACAAACATCTTCTTCTAACCAAGAGTCTATAAACTTATAAATAAAATAATATGTATCTGATTAGATCAGGCTAGCTAGGGCTGTCCAGGTCAGGGCAGCGACAAACAGAGGTGTTTTGCCATTGCCTGCCTCTGCGTAGCAACCCTGGGCTTCCTTGGTGGTTCGGAGGAGATCGGGCTACCCTGCAGCATCCAGGTCAGGGCCAAGGTGATATGAAGAAGAAGGAGAGATTGGATTTCCCTTCCCGATCTCCTTTCCCTTCCCCTGCCCACAACAGACACCCTGGAGGTGGGTGGGTCCGAGAGAGCTCTTTCAAGAACTGCCCTTGAGAGAACAGCTCTGAGAGTACTTGTGACAGACCCAAGGTCACACCAGCAGCTGCATGTGGAGGAGAGGGGAATCAAACCCGGTTCTCGCAGATTAAGAGTTTGTGCACTTAACCACTACACCATCCAGGTCAGGGTCCAGGGGGTAGAGGAGGAGGAGGAGGAGGAGATCGGATTTATACCCTGCCCTTCACTACCCAAGGGAGTTTCAGAGCGGCTCACAACCTCCTTTCCCTTCCCAACCCCACAAGAGACCCCCTCTGAGGTACCACTACACCATCCAGGTCACGGCCAAGGGGGGGGGAGAGGAGGAGGAAGAGGAGGAAGAAGAAGAAGAAGAGGAGGAGGAGGAAGAGGAGATCAGATCTATACCCCGCCCTTCACTACCCAAGAGAGTTTCAGAGCGGCTCACAATCTCCTTTCCCTTCCCCTCCCCACAACAGACACCCTGTGAGGTTGGTGGGTCCAAGAGAGCTCTTTCAAGAACTGCCCTTGAGAGAACAGCTCTGAGAGTACATGTGACGGACCCAAGGTCACACCAGCAGCTGCATGTGGAGGAGAGGGGAATCAAACCCGGTTCTCGCAGATTAAGAGTTTGTGCACTTAACCACTACACCATCCAGGTCAGGGTCCAGGGGGTAGAGGAGGAGGAGGAGGAGGAGGAGATCGGATTTATACCCTGCCCTTCACTACCCAAGGGAGTTTCAGAGCGGCTCACAATCTCCTTTCCCTTCCCCTCCCCACAACAGACACCCTGTGAGGTACCACTACACCATCCAGGTCAGGGCCAAGGGGGAGAGGAGGAGGAGGAGGAGGAGGAAGAGGAGGAAGAAGAAGAAGAGGAGGAGGAGGAGGAGATCGGATTTATACCCCGCCCTTCACTACCCAAGGGAGTTTCAGAGCGGCTCACAATCTCCTTTCCCTTCCCCTCCCCACAACAGACACCCTGTGAGGTCGGTGGGTCCGAGAGATCTCTTTCAAGAACCGCCCTTGAGAGAACAGCTCTGAGGGAACTGGTGACCGACCCAAGGTCACGCCAGCAGCTGCACGTGGAGGAGAGGGGAATCAAACCCGGTTCTCCCAGATCAAGATTCCGCGCACTTAACCACTACACCAAACCACTATGCCATACTGGACTTAATCATTTTCTCACTGCGTTGTTAGGCGCCTTGAATAGGAAAAGGCAGAATGCAAAGCTTTCAGGTGAGTTAAGTCCTTGCGGCAAATTGCTTCTCTCTTTGCCTGACCCACAAGGGACGGCCGCCCCCCCCCCCCGCCCATCCCATGGGGATGAGATACTCCTAATCCTTACCGGAGGTCTCCACAGTCGGCTGCATCATAGACAAGCCAGATGCCGACAGGGCTGCACCTACAGAGAGACACGCATGGAAGATGTTAGAGAAGTGGCCCTTTATCCTCCAGACGCCAAAAGTCACCCCAACCCAGCCTCCTAAACTGGATTTCCCATCCCCAGCCAGGCCTCATCAACTCTGGATAGGGCAGGGGTAAGCGTGTCCCTTCCACACACACCCCTGAGGCGTCTGATAGCAATAAAGGAAGAACAGTTCACGTAAAACAAGATTCCAGCATCCTCAGTCAATCTGATCTCGGAAGATGCACCTTTTAAACCCAGGTTAGACCATATGATTCCAGGTTTTTCAGTGGTCCCACAGCGGTGGCCAAACTGTGGCTTGGGAGCTGCATGTGGCTCTTCCACACATCTTGTGCGGCTCCCGGCAGAGCGGCTGGGGAAGCTAAATATCATTAGCAAACAAGTATCATTGGACAAATAAATATCATTAATCAGGGCTATTTTTGGTCAGGAACGCACAGGAACGGAGTTCCGGCTGGCTCCCGAGTTGGCCACGCCCAGCAGGAACTCATTAGCATAATAGGCCACACCCAACAGCAGGAACTCATTAGGATTGGCTACGTTAGGGGTGTGTGGCCTAACATGCAAAGGAGTTCCTGCTACAAAAAAAGGCCCTGGGTTTTGACAACAAACAAAGTAAACAGAATAACAAGCAAAAGGTGGGTGGCTGGATAATCACACTTCTGGTAACACTGGGGCGTGGCCTGATATGCTAATGAGCTGTGCTGTCATGGGTGTGGCCTAATATGCTAATGAGTTCCTGCCTTGGGTATGCCTCATTATGCTAATGAGTTCCTGCTGGGCTTTTTCTACAAAAAAGCCCTGATCATTATCAATATCTGCTTTACCACTTTTGTTCTTATTTTTGGCAATCTCATTTATAATGTTAATAAAAAGCACATTTGCATATTTACCAGTAAAAACATGTAATATCTGTTCATGTCTTGTGGCTCTGAAACATCTGACATTTATTCTGTGTAGCTCTTACATCAAGCAAGTTTGGCCACATCCCTGCTTTAAGCTGTGGAGTCCTGTGAGCAAAAGTTCTACTTTCTGAGCTGCTGGCATTAAAGTTGTGAGCAGGTGATCTGGCTACTGCATAACTTAAGTTTGCTCTGGAGCCACCCTTCCTGAGCCAAGACGAAAATGTGAGCGCCGGAGGCTACAAAACTGTGAGCTAGCTCACACTGACTCGGCTTAGAGGGAACGCTAATCTCGATAATCCTAAAAACAATCATGCGGAGCAGGCCAGCATTCTTCTCCGCACTCCGGGATGCGCTGAAAGCAGGCAGAACAATGGTTTGCCCTCGGTCATTAACCTGCGGCCCAGGCAGGTTTCGAACTAGGGATTTCCCGGCTCACCTTTTTAGCCACTCGGCCACAGCGACTCTCGAAAGCAAAGGGTTGCTGTACTTTCGACAGCTGCGCGGCAAGCAGAAATCTAGCAAGGAAAGGCTCCCGTTGGTGCACCTGGTGCTCTTCACCCTCCCCCCCCAAAAAAAGTAGACTCTGCTTTTATAATGCTCCAGCTGCTGGACTGCTGCACATCGTCGGGTTCTTGAACAGTCCTCCCAGATTAGAGTCCGCCCTCCTAACCACTACACCAAACTGGCTCTCTGAGGTCCAATGCTCTCTCGAAGCAGTGGAGACTTGCGAGCAAAAATCCTACTTTGTGAGCGACCGGCATTAAAGTCGTGAGCGAGCGATTTGGCTGCTGCATAATGAGTTTGCTCCGGAGCCCTCCTTCCTGAGCTCAGACAACAACCTGTGAACCGGAGGGTAAAAAACGGTGGGATGGCTCACACTAACTCAGCTTAGAGGGAACACTGGTGGAGACCTGTCTTCTCATCACGTCCCCACTTCCCAAGGTCCAAAAGCCACCCTCTATCAGGGTGTCTATCAGGCCAGGTTTGCACTTTGTGTCCCAGCTGGAGAGACAGAGTGCACAGGCATGGTAATTCCATCTCGTAATAACATATCCCCAATTTGAAATCATATGCCCCCGCCCACCTTGGTTTGGACAACCACTGTCACTAACACGCATAAGCCCAGCCCAGCTGGTCCCTGGGCTCTTGATCTAGGAACAAAGGAGGCGGCCTTCTGCTGATTCAGGCAATCAGTCCATCAAGGACTTGCCTACTCAGACTGGCAGCTGCTCTCCAGGGTCTCAGGTGGAGATCTTTCACGTCACCTGCTGCCTGGTCCTTTTAACTGGAGATGCCGGGGATCGAACCTGGGACTGTCTGCATGCAAAGTAGAGGCTCTGCCACTGAGCTACAGCCCCACTTCATGGCTCTCCAGGGTCTCAGGCGGAGGTCTTTCACGTCACCTCCTGCCTGGTCCTTTTAACTGGAGATGCCAGGGATTGAACCTGGGGCCTTCTGCATGCCAAGCAGAAGCTGTCCCACTGAGCTACAGCCCCACTTCATGGCTCTCCAGGGTTTCAGGCGGAGGTCTTTCCCATCCCCTCCCTGCCTGGTCCTTTTAACTGGAGATGCCAAGGATCGAACCTGGGACCATCTGCATGCCAAGTAGACGCTCTACCACGGAGCTACAGCTCCACTTCATAGCTCTCCAGAGTCTCAGACGGAGGTCTTTCATGTCACCTCCCGCCTGGTCCTTTTAACTGGAGATGCTGGGGATCGAACCT